CGGTAACTGCAAAGCAAGGAACATATACTAGTCATTATCCCATTCATCCTATTAGGTCTCCCTGAGCACAAGGAACTTTAACTGGAGGGGAGGAAAGGATCAGAATCACCTGATCAAGCCTTTGACAGTGGGACCTAGGTATGCATTTTTTTTAATGCTCACTAGGTAGTTCTGCTGTCCACACCTTGTTAAGAGCCACTGGCCTGGCAGAGAATGTGAATAAAAGTACTAAGGAATAAATCAACTTAGAGTTCTTGGATGTTCTTGCCTGTTTCCTTCCCTTAACCCACAGCTGATGCTAAAGAACATCAGTTGAAGACTTAATTCCCTCTGGATCCTTAGGGTGGATTTAAGCAACTCCTCTGCAAAAACACAATATATTTAGCATCTACCTATATGGTTCATTCCATACCTACCTTTTATCCAGATTTAATTGACTGCCCAGGTTCTGAAACCAAATTCCCAATTTCCAACCCAATACCAGCAATTTAATTTATTATTATTATTACTGAGATGGAGTCTTGCTCTGTCGCCAGGCTGGAGTATAGTGGTACGATCTCAGCTCACTGCAACCTCCAACTCCCGTGTTCAAGTGATTCTCCTGCCTCAGCCTCGTGAGTAGCTAGGACTACAGGCACCTGCCACCACACCTAGCTAATTTTTGTATTTTTAGTACAAATAGGGTTAACATGTTGGCCAGGATTGTCTTGATCTCTTGACCTCGTGATCTGCCCACCTCGGCCTCCCAAAGTGCTGGGATTACAGGTGTGAGCCACCACCACCCCCAGCCCCAACAGTTTAATTTTTGAAGTCTTGCTCAAACTGGTTCTCCCAGGAAAAGTAAGTCTTGTCTCTGAAGCCTGCTGTTGCCTGCCAGGTATCCCTGGCACTGGATCTTTCCACATGCCTGCTATTAAACTCTCCACCACAATTTCCCTCTGTCAAATGCTACACAATAGTCTATAATGAGCCTCCCTGGTGCTTGAGGAGCTATGGTTGGTGCCCAGTATAGGGCCAGAAAAGTGTGGTCCAGAAAAAGTAAATGACTTGCCTTGAGATTACATAGCTAGAAAGCAGGACAACCAAGAACAGAATTCAAGACTCCTGTACACATCTGATTACATTTAAAAATATTTTTTAAATCTTTTATAAATATAAAACCAACTGTAGTAGTGGTTGTACAACTCTATACATTTAGTAAAAATCAATGGATTATATACTGAAAATCAGTGTCACAGGGTCATCAAGGAATTGGAGCAGGAGTGGCTTTTCAAAAGTACAACTTCTCCCTACAGAGTCAGCATGTTCTCTTCCTTTTGACTTTGTTGATATGTAAATTAAGGTCTAGGAGTAGTTACCTTCAAACAGTAATCACCTTTCTGTAGCTATCAGGAAATGTTAGAAATACAAAGCCATGTCAGATGTTGATATAAAAATTTTCAACAAAATTGAAAACAAAAATAGCAACAAAATCTTAAAAATAAAAATGTTATATACTACTAAAAGCAATGTGCCAATTAAATATCTATACATTAACTCTTCCATTTGAACCTAACTTATTAAGTGTTATTTGGGACTGTGTGACTCCCACATAGGGTGTAAACTCATACAGGACAGGGACTACATTTGAATCTCCACCAGCAAGCACAGTACTCACTGTGTACAAAAAACTTAATGTCATCTCCTTTAAAATGCAGAGATCAAAGAACCCTCTCAGCCAGAATCAGGCTATAATCTATGCTAAAACCAACAGAGGAAAAAGAACAATAAGAACCAAGCAAAGAAGGCATTGAGGTGTTGGGGGAGGCTGAAGAATGGAAGCACAACTGGAATGAGATAGTCTGAGTTTTTAAGGAGGATAAAATACATTCATTAGGCTGTGAGTTAGGATATGTAAAAAAGAAAATAGTCAAAATCAGCATATTCACAGAGCTTATCCCAAAGCTTCTCAATTAATTTTTGTTTCCTATTACCAAATTTAGCACCTCAGTTTCTCTTCAATGATGCTCGTAACATTAGACAAAACAATGAATTTCATAAAACCCTGAGTTTGTATATTACCAATTTATCCCAATTCCACTCTGGCTGATTTATTTCATATTTATAAACTCTTTGTGGATGATAAACATAACAGGCCCACATTACTAGAGTAACTGAAACTAAATAAAAATGTGATATTTCAGCTTATTTCATTTAAAAAAAAAACTACATAATGGAAAATATAAACAAGCTAGCAAAATTTTTGCCACGCACAACAGGCCGCTTATACATACTCCTTGCTTTACAACAATTTTCATTCAGAAACAATAATGCAGTCATCCATCTCCTGTGATAAGTACATTTTAAAATGCAGCAAACTAAAAAGAACTATTAACTACAAGGAGAATCAACAAGAAAGAAGTTACCGGGTGGGTCTTACTATGTCACAGAAGCCCTGCATGATTCAGCACTGACCACGCTCTCTTTGACCTCACCTTATTACTCTGCGTCTCAATCTGCTTCAGCCTAACTGGTCTCATTGCTGTTCCTAGAAAATGCTAAGCACACTGCCAACTCAGGGCTTCTGATTTGGCCGTTCCTTCTGCATAGAGTGCTCTTCCCCCAGATACCTAATACCCCCACCTATTGCAGGTCTTTGCACAAATGACACTTCCTTGATGAGAGTAATGTGGCCGCCATATTTAAAAGTGTAACCTGCGCCCCACTCTCCCACCTTTCCACTCTCCACCTCTGATTTTTTTTCCCATAATACTTAGTTAATCACATATTTTACATTCATTGTTTGTTGTCCGTCACTCCCTCAAAAAGTTCCACAAGGAAGACATACCCTAAGCACCTGGAACAGGATGTGGCACAGAGTAGGAAATCAGTAAGTGTTTGCTGGATGAATAAATAAAACTGGAAAATCACTGAAATCATACAACACTATACAAGCTTCTTGTCTTACCTATGAATATCATCTACATAACCATAATAATACTATAAAATTATGATATAAAAGGATATAATATATAACATAACAGGAGAACAAACTGAAGAGTCTTTGTGCATACACGTGGTAGAGTAGGTAAGAAAACTTTGAGGAGACATCCACCTTCCACAACGGGAAGACAATAAACACTGTGTAAAATTGGAATCAAGAAGTACACTATAAGCTTTCCATTTAAATGTATGAAAAGAATCAAAGGAATCAATTAAAATAGCTAAAAGTGGTTACCTTTGGAAAGCAAGAAGTTGGGTAAAGGAGTCAGTTTTTAAAAGTAAACACTAGAAATTATGTGCAAATATAACGTAAAAATAAAACGTAAATATAAAAAAAATTTTAAGGCAACTCACATCTTAGTTAAAAAAAAATACTCCTTATGCATATAATAGACTAAGAATTAAGCAGATTATATAAAAATGTCAACAACAAACCTCCTACCAAAAGAAAAGAAACAAAACCAGCATTTCACAGATGAGCAAACATGAATGGCCAATCACATATAAAAAGCTACTCAGTTTCATTAGTAACTAGGGAAGTACAAATTAAAACCACAGTGACATGTTCTTCTACACCTACCAAATCAGCAAGCATTTAAAAGTCTCACAACATCAAGAGTATTAATGAGAATGTGAAATGAGAGTAACTTTCATATGCTGCTGATGAGACTATAAACTGGTACAAATACTCTGAAAAACATTTGAGATTATCTAGTAAAGGCGAAGATGTACTAACCTGACAATCCAGCATTGCCACTCCTAGTTATATATCCTACAGAAACTTTTGGACATATGTGTCAGAGAAATACATGATTATTTTTACCACAGTACTATCTTTATAACAAAAAAATTAAGAACTAAATTTTCTTCTACAGGAGAATGAATAAATATGTGGCAAATCATTTGTAAAATGAAATGTCCTAAATAGTAGTTAAAAATGATAAAGCAAGAAAAGCACCAAAAAGCAAGTCATGAAGTGAGACTTGTATGTCTTCTGTGTGATTCCATTTACATAAAGTCAAAACAGCAAAACTAAATATGAATGAGTGATAAAACTACAAAGAAAGCAAGAAAATTATATACACAAAGCTCAGGACAGCAGTCATCTTTAAACAGAGACAATGGAATCAGGGAAGAGCACAAGGAGGACTTCAGAGAGAGCGTGTGTGTGTGTGTGTGTGTGTACACGTCTGTGTTCTTTTGTAGTATAAAAAGTTCATAATAACAAAGTCCTGAACTAAACACAAACATATGACTAAACAGAATACAAACTTGCATACATTTTCAATCAAAAAGACTTAAGTATACTGAGAGTCCAAGTTAAGGACTTGCCAATTAAACACAGAGTAAGTCTCAAAATTCAAAAGCTCAAGTTAGGTCTGTCTTACTCAAAATTTAATACTATACCCATTTATGAAACCAAATATTTAGCTTGGCTATCCTATAAAATGCATGTGACTTCTGTTATCAAATAACAAAATTAAAGGGGAGAAATCACTGGAAGTAGAAAAAGCCATAAAGTTTCCAGTAACTTTCAATGTAGATGGCAAATACACAGGGGAGTGTATTTGTATGTGAATGATGGGACACAGTTGTTGGAAGAAATGTGCAACATCAGTACAGCCCAAACTAGCAAGGAAAGACAGAAGGGAAGAAGCATCTCCTAAGGCCCTTCTGTGTGAGGGCACCTAATATATAGTACTAGTTCTCCCACTAATTATCTGAGTTAGACATCACACTCATTTTAAAGATGAAAAAAATAAGGTCCAGAGGGTTAAAAGAGGAGAATAAATTCCTCATGGAATATTCCCAGTGCCCACCTGGCTCAGTGAGCCAGCTGGAACAGCAGGAATAATCAGATGACAACAATATTATAGATATTAAAGATAAGTACGCACAAAAGGAGGAAATTAAGAAGTCAACATAAGAATCAAAATAGTTTCTTCTCCCTGAACCTGAACCAAGATTTCTATATCCACCTAATATTCCACTAAATATGAGAACGAATGGTTACTTACCTGTGACCAGGATGATAAATAGCAGTGTTGATTCCATGAGGATAATGACTACTGAAGCTGAAACAGTGACTTTCTTGGTAGCTCTGATTTGTTCCAACACTAAATTTAAGAAGGTAAGTAAGACATAAATACCATTAAACAACAATGAATATCACTAAATACCCAAAAACATGTCTAGAATTTAAAAGACAGACAATATCAAATATTGCTGAGGATATAAAACAACCAGAACTCTGTTACAATGAGAAGGCAATTGATAAAACCAGTTGGTAAAAAGCATGGAAGTTTTTTATAAAAATAAACTGTATCTACCCTATGACCCAGCAATCCCACTTGAAGATATTGACCCAAGAGAAACGAAAATGTATATCCATAAAGACTTGTACAAGAATGGTTGTAACAGCATTATTTGCAATAGCCCAGAAGTGGAAACACGGTTCTATCAATAGAAGAATGGATTTTTAAAATCATGAGCTATTCATACAATAAAATACTAATCATCAGTAAAAAGGAATAAAATATTTTTACACTTTAAAAATATGAATATCAAAATATGATGACTGAAGGAAGACTTAGACACAAAAGTACATACTACAATTATTCCTAGATGTCCTTGGTGGACTGGATCCAGGATGCTCAGAGGATAACAGAATCTGCAAATGTTCAAGTCCTTGGTATAAAACGGCATAGTATTTTCATCTAACCTACACACATCCTCCTGTATACTTCGAATCATCTCTAGATTCCTTATAATACCCAATACAATGTAAATGCTATGTAATGGTTGTTATACTATATTGCTCAGGCAATAATGACAAGAAAAAAAGTCTGTACATGTTCAATACAGATACAATTTTTGAATCTTCTCAATCCACAGTTGATCAAATCTACAAACAGAACCCATAGATACAGAGGGATGACTATATGTTATTCCATTAACATAAATTATTAGAATGGGCAAAACTAATCTGTGATTTAAAAAAAAAAAATCAACAATAGTTGTTCTGGGAGTGGGTATGGAAAGAGAATTACTGGGAAGGGGCATGAGGGAACTTTCTAGTATGATGGTAATGTTCCATATCTTGACAGAGGTTTGAATTGCACAAATGTATGCGTTTGTCATAACTCACTAGCTGGTATAATTAAGATGTATACATTTCACTGCATGCAAATTTCACCTCAAAAGAAAGAAAACTATAAGCAAATATTAAACTCTAATCAATAATACGCATGCTAAAGCATTTGAGTACTGATCTCCAACTCACTATGAAATAATTAACAGCTGGATAGAGGCATGGACATATGATTAGAAATATGGTATAGCAAACATAGTAAAATCCTAATTGTAAAATCCAAGTGGAAGCAACGGGTGTTCACTACACCATTCGTTCAACTGCCCTATTATGTTGGCAATTTTTCATAATAGACAGAAGGGAAAAAAAAACAAAGAAATACCAAAATCTGACATTAAACCAGAAAAATAAACATTATTTCAAACATGGCTTCCCAAAGTACATTTTTACCTTACAAGGTAACTTCTAAGTTCTCCTCGGTAATTGATGACCAAGAGTTCTGCAGACCACTGCGCACTTGCTTTGTATTCTAAAAACATCAACCCAGCAATGGCGTAGCTTAGGTCACCTATAAAACTAGAAGCCTACAGAAGAGGGAAAAATTAAGTTAGTGAAAAAACACTAGATAACAGTTAACACATGTGTAATTGGAGAATAACTGATACACTGGCTTCAGGCACACTTTATGTAAGATAACCTCAGAATTTCTCTGTATACTCAAAAATCATGCAAGTCAGACTGCCTAGATCTAGACACCCAAATCTAGGTCAGCCCTCTCAGACGCAAGCTGAAACCACAGCAGCCCCTTTGAAAATGTTCACCTACACAGTAAATTTCTATTCAGATTTTATGCCAATTGCAGAAAAAAATAAAGATAATGCCACCACTCAGACTCAAAAACCTCTAAGAGCTTGTTTAAAGATACAAGCTTCCAAATGTTAATTTCCACTGCCAGCAGCAGATTATGCTAAGTCTCCAGTTTCCATCTGCCCAATCAGCAACCTAAAGAAAAGGACACATAAAATACTCAGTGTTAACCTTTCTCGATCAACAAAACACCAGGCCAAACTGTTAAAGATGTGAAGGCCTGTACACCTTGGGAAGCACACAAAATAAAGTTCATCACCCTTGAAGGGGATTTGAATATGCCAACCCAAAATATGCCACTTTGGCACAAGGATTATTTTGTGCTGAAGGCAACTGAGAATCAACAGATGCAGGAAAAATTATCTGCCCCGCCCCTTAACTGCCTAAAAACAAGGCACAAATTTCTCTTTGTGAAAGTGCTCCTCAGTACCAGGAGGAGGAGACGGACTCAGCACTGGAAGTCAGAAGTCACAGCAAGATGAGTCTGAGTAAACAGACTTATTAAAATCCCTTTATTCCATTAGTAACTCCCATGCATTTCTTAGTCACTTTCCCACAATTTACCACCTCAAAAAGCCAAAATTCCCTTTCTTTTGTCTAATCACTTCTCACCAATTTATATTCCTTTATTAAAATGGTATATAAGGCTGGACGGGATGGTTCGCATCTGTAATCCCAACACACTGAGAGGCCAAGGCGGAAGGACCACTTGAAGCCAGGAGTCCAAGACCAGCCTGGACAGCATTGCAAGATCCTGTCTCTACAAAAAATTTAAAAGATTAGCCAGGTGCGGCTGCACTATGATCATGGTGTGGCTGCACTACGATCTCCAGCCTGGGCAACAAGAAGACTCTATAAAAAAATAAAACATGGTATATCAGCCTGAGTCTAACCACTTCTTTGAGTTTTCACATCTTTTCTGAGACGCTCCCTGTGCATGTAAAAATATAAATAAACACTGTACAACTTTTCTCCTGTTAATCTGTCTTTTGTCAGTTTAATTTGCAGGCCCCTAGCTGCTAAATTTAAGCAGACAGAGAAAAAGGTTTTCCTCCCAAACACCCTGAATGGTTCCTCATTTTCTAGAACCACATAATGAACACTTGATATATGGCTAGTCTGAATTGAGATATGTCATAAATACAAAAATACACATCACATTTCAAAGACTTAAAATCAAAGAAGGAGCACAAAATATCACATTAATAATGTTTTATACTGATTATATGTTGAAATTATAACATTTTGGATATATCAGATAAAATATGGTATTAAATAAATTTCACTTTTTTCTTATTTTAGTTTCTCATTGTAGTTATTATTGTTAAATAAACTTCACCTGTCATTATTGTATATGTGACCAAATATAATTTAATATTACATTTGAGCACATATACAGCTCACATTGTATTTCTTGTAGCCAGAAATAGTCTACAAAATAATAATCCAGATTCCTTAGTTTGGCTAAGACTTCCATAATATAAGAACAACACACATTTGTAGTCTCTCCACTCATTATTTCTGAAAAAAAATAATTCTCTATATCATTGGTTTTCAACTCTAGTTTCTCATTAGAATCAGCCGAAAAGCTTATAAACAATATTAATACCAAGGCCCCACTCAGATCAAATAAATCAGAATCTCTGCGAGCTGCAGCCGGGCAATCTGGCAATTTGTTTTTTTTTTTCTTTGCCTTATAAAGCTCTGCAGGTGATTCTAAGATACAGCCAGAGTGAGAACCACTGTTCTAGCTGACCCTATAACTTGTTTAGTTGACAAAGGAGGATACAAACTAAAGAGCACTAGATGCCTAGAAGAGACACTATTAACTGAATTGTCATACAAACGTCATTTTGTTTCCACTCAATCTTAGTTTTCTAGACAAAATGAGACCAATATCCGCCCAATCTACTCAAAGGTTGTGAATATAAGATCATAATATACATCAAACGCATTAATAAAGTAGTACACAAATACAAATTACTACTACCACTTTTTTTTCTCCACTCTCCTTTTCCATTTCTATTTCCTGTAGGGTAACAAGTTCTAATTCCTCTTGAAGTTGTTCCTGTTGCAACAGCCCATTGACTTCTTTTTGCCACTGGAACTTTATAACAACTTTCTGTATCTATATTTAGTGTTTGCTTACTACCATGTGGTTTACAGCTGGATAGTGTATTACAAAATACAAGGAATAAATATTGCCTGTATATAGATCTCTAACTAGATTCTGGGCATCTTACATTCACAGCTTATTATTCTGATTTATATTTGTATTATTCCCCCCTCTTCACACTCTTTTACTCAAGTACCTATACATACATGACATTGAAAAAACTATGTTATCAATTTAAGCTATGTACATACCGGGGAAATGACAAAGAGTTCACTTCCCATGAGATCAAATACCCTCACAGTTCCTGTGCTTTCAGCATAGGCCAGCAAGGTACAATCATAACTCCATGCTACCCGTCTCCACTGGGGTTTCGGGTCTTTTGGAACTAAAACAAAAGACAAGAGGTGTTTTTAACAATATATTACAAAGACAGTCAACACTTTTAGTAACTGCAACTAAAGTAAGAATTCAACTATATTAATTACATCATCTCCTAAGGATCTCTAATAATGCTTCCCTCAATAAAAAAGAGCAGTTTCCAGAAACACACTTCAAGTTAAGAGTGGGAAATACAAACCACTGCAACTACGGTTTTATTTTAGAAGCAAAGTCTACTGATGCATGATCTGATGAATGCTGAGCATGCCCTGGTCCGGTAAAGGCCCAGGAATAACACACTTCAAAACACTTATAATACTAAGAGAGATCTAAAGCATACAGAATGGGCAGACAATATTAATTATTCCAATCCAATGAGTTCAGTTCCTCTAAGAGCAAAAAATAAAAATTGCAACTTGATCTTTTAAATACATCAAATATAGATGCCAAGATACAAATTGGGACTATGCTAACATTGTATTGGAAACAGGGAGAAAATAGATATACATACATACATATATATACATACACATACATACATACATACATATAGAGAGAAGCAGGTAGATCAAGAACTCTTATGAGTCAATCACACAATTTCAAGATTTTGATAATCAACACCTTAATAATTCTAACAACTCAACAACTGAATTTTTTCTGCTCTAAATTTTCATTACAATAGAGAGAAAGGCTATCAGTTGCGAAAGAAGAAAAAAAGGATGTGAAACTCTAAGCTATGTTAGATTTCAGGTTTTTTATTGTTTTGTTTTGTTTCCTTCGGTTTCCTCTTACTGGAATCCCAGAACTGAAGAGTTAGGTAGACAGATTAGTGTTCTTCCTTTCCCAGCAAGAATTCAAAATGATTAGGGCCTCAACATGACTCCATGAGTCAGGAATAGAACAAAACCCAGACAATCAGCACCCTGTCTTCCCATGCAGTGCAGGTTTCATTACAATACACCGCCTCTTCACCAGTGCCTTAGGATTGCCTCAAAAATGCTCCAGAAATGTATGGTCTTCTCTCTATGCCTCTGCTACTATCCCAGCTCAGGTCTTGCTTGGCCTACTAACCGGTCTTCCACCATCAGTCTCTTCTCTTCTATTCCTTCCTCTATACTATCAGATGATATATTTCTAAAATAACAAGATAAACAGATCACTAAAATCACTAAATGGTTCTCCATTTCCAACAGAATCAAGTCCAAACTCCTCAATATATATGTGAGATACGGCAAGGTTTCTCTTCTAACAGCCTGCTCAACCTTTTATTCTTTAATTCCCAGTACCCACTCCCTCTTTCTTCTTCTTTTCTTCTGACTTTACTACATGCCCAGGCATGCCACAGCACCAGTGGCATTATCAACACAAGCTCAGATTCCTTTACTTACTTGGGCAAAGACTAGCTCTCTAATTGGCCACAACAACCCCTTCCTCCTCTCCCCTCTCTCCCATCGCTTGTCCACCTTAATCTAAGAAAGTTTAAATGTTTAGCCAATCGGGGCTAGTTTAAATTGTGCAGTCTGACCCCAGCCAAAGGTGGCAGTCCCATAAAAAATAAAAACTTCTGCTCTCCTTTGTTTTGCATGCTCTCGTGGCAACTGGCCATACAGGAGACACCTCCTGTGCAGGAATAAATTTACTTTGCTGAGAAATCCTTTGTCTAAGTGCTCATTTTTCCTTACAACTCCGAGCCTTATTTCTAACATATATTGAAAAGTCCTCCACAAAAGGCCCCACTGTGGCTTTCCAGTTTTGCCTTCTACCAATTCTTGTGTCATATACCTAACAACCCATTCATACCACAACAACCAGGCAAATGAGCAAATATGTGCCTTTTATACATACTGCTGCTCTACTAGACTGTTTACCTCCAATCTTACTTATCCTTCCAGGTCTAGTTGTTACCTCCTCCTCCCTTGACACACTCTTGAAAACTGGCTGCTCTGTGCCACCAAATATGCTGTACATACCTCTTTCATAGCATTTATAACATCATATTGTTGTTTACATAATTATTTGCCCCACAAGTCTCTGAGCTCCTTGAAATCAGAGACAATGTCTTATTCAACATTCCACTCCCAGGCCTGGAACACAAAGTGATTAACGTTTCACTAACGAGTGACATCTACGTCTCTCAAAAAAAAGTCTCTATTAACAGGGCAAGGTAATGGTAGAGTTTACCACCCGTCCAGGACTACCAATGAAATGTGAACTATATCACAGAAGTCATCTATCTACCTAAAAGGAATAATGGGTAGAGTTCAAACTTCCCTTTACTTCTGTAATATATATTTTGGGGAATATATGGGGATAGCACACCAGACATCAATGAGTTTCTTCATTTTGACTATTTATCAATAGGTTAAAAGTATACAAAAAAATCCCAAAGAGGTCATTCAGCATGGATAAGTCTAACGAATTTTATTAAAGCCTATCAAGATACTGCATACACTCCAAAAAGCCACTTTTGCAAGCAGGAATAATTTTTTTAAAAAATTACTTCCCTGTCTTTAGACTACTAAAATAAAAAATCAAACTTTGAAGCAGACATAGGTATAAAATGATAACAAAAGAATAAAAAACTGGCATATGCACAGATGCTACATAAAAACCAGCAAGATGACAATTTTGCCCTGAAAAATATTTATGTGCTAAGGAAACACTGCAATCTGATAACAGATTTTTCCTCTTATTTCATTTTGATAAGATAAATAGATTCTATGCACTGCATTGCATCTGAATGGGATTTGTTTTTACTGTTACTTCTAGTCACAACCAGTAACTCCAGAAAACTCAGCATGTGTTTTGACCTAGATAAAAATATGTTTTCACTACAAGCTAAGATTTCACATAACAATGTGAAAATAAAGACTTTTTTCCAGTTGCCCATGTGTCTTGGGAAAGGAATAAACAGTACAGATTTTTACAAAGCAAGTGTCAATGAAGTTGTCTGAAAAGTATGCAGAAAAACACTGACGGTAAAAGTTAACCAGCAAATTGACAACCGACAGGTGCATGGTGAAAGAGTTTATAACCCACTCATATTTTCATCAGCTGTAGCTCCTTAAATCTGCCCAGTTGCCAAGCTGTTTCCCACCTCAGAGCTTTTGTGGATGCTATTTTCTCAGCCTGGAACATTCTTTTGCTCACACTCCACTGGCTTTTTTTTTACATCTTTCAAGCTTCACTTTAAATAGCACTTCCTTAGAAGACATTCTGTGACCCGTAAGTAGCCTCTAAGCCCCATTATTTTTCACCAGCCCAATGATTTCATTTCCTTCACAGCTTTTACATCAAATTATACATTTCTTCTTGTATTAGTCCGTTTTCACACTGCTGATAAAGACATAACTGAGACTGGGCAATTTACAGACGAAAGAGGGTTAATTGGACTTAGAGTTCCACGTGGCTGGGGAAGCCTCACAATCACGGTGGAAGGCAAGGAGAAGCAAGATCCAGCTTGCATTGATGGTAGCAGGTAATGAGAGAATGAGGAAGATGCAAAAGCGAAAACCCCTGATGAAACCATCAGATCTTGTGAGACTTATTCACTATCATGAGAACAATATGTGGGAAACTGCCCCCATGATTCAATTATCTCCTACCAGGTCCCTTCCACAACATGTGAAAGTTATGGGAGTACACTCCAAAATAAGATTTGGGTGAGGACACAGAGACAAACCATATCATTTGTCAGGCTTTTTATTGTCTGCCTTATTTGTGAATCTATAAATTCCAAAATGTCAGGAGCTGTGTCCATTTTGTTCATAATGTTTATGACCAGTGCCTAACACTCTGGTGGGACACAGCAAATACCCAAATGCTCAAGGAGAAGACTTCAGTCCAGTGCCCATTCACCCAAACTAGAATTGGAAACAAGCAAGGATTTAAAAATAAGAAAAACTGTGTTCTAGTCTCAGTGCTATCACAAGAGAGCTGGGTCTGACCCTGGGTATGGCCTCAGTTTCCTCATTTTCAAAGTGAATTCAGTGAACAATCTCTCACGTATGTACATTCTTTACATCCAAGTCAAGAGCCAGTGAGCAAGGGCAAACTAGTGGGAACAGAAAGACATTAGAGAAGCCAAATATGTAAATGTTTAACAGTGTCACTAGAAGAACACATGAGAAAACCCTTAACAATTCTACAATAAGAAAGGCCTAAATATGATAAGAAACTCTGAATTTATAAAGAAAAAAGTGACAAATGGTGGAGGGAGAGAAGGAAGGAGGGAAAGTGTAAACACGATAAGAAACTCTGGATTTATAAAGAAAAATGTGACAAATGGAGGGACGGAGGGAGGGAAAGAACGAGGAAGCTCTCTAAAAAAAAGATACCATAACAAATTTAAAGCAATAGCCATAAACTTTTCAAATTTGAAAACAACCTACAAAACTACTTATCTAGTATCTTAATGAACTTAAAGCTAGATAAACTCAAAAGCCATCAAGGCACAGGATAATTTACGTCTGACAACCAATAATAAAAAGAAAATTTTAAAGTAGACAGACAAAAGAAAGACACCTTCCATTTAAGAAAACAATAGCAATGATTCTCAATTTCTTGTCCAAAACAAAACAATGACATCTTTAAAGAGCTAAAAGGGTCAGGTGCGGGTGGCTCACGCCTGTAAGCCCAGAACTTTGGGAGGCTGAGGCAGGTGGATCACAACGTCAGAGTTTGAGACCAGCCTGTCCAATATGGTAAAACCCCATCTCTACCAAAAAATACAAAAAAATGAGCCGGGCGTAGTGGCGCGCACCTGTAGTCCCAGCTGCTCAAGTGGCTAAGGCAAGAGAATCACTTGGACCTGGGATACAGTGAGTTGAGATCGCACCACTGTACTCCAGCCTGGGTGACAGAGTAAGACTCCCTTAAAAAAAAAAAAAAAAAAAAAAAAAAAGAGCTGAAAGGAGATTAACCTAGATTTTTCTCAGATAAAACGTTTTATAAAAACAAGCACAAACATTGAGAAAATTTGTTATCAATAGTCCTTGGCAGGGTACG